TATATTTATATTTATATTTATATTTATATTTATATTTATATTTATATTTATTTTTCTATTCTTTTCTTCCAGAGCAAAAACCCTCCACAGACCTATTGTGATATAGTTGAAGGCTGCAAGGCCAAGGTCAAGGAGGTTCGTGTTTTGCAACGATTCGCCAGCCAAAATAGTTTTCTGAAAATTGCCTTTTCTTTTTCCAGGCTGGCTCGAATTTGATTTCCATAAACTTCTTTCGCCTGTTTCGTGTCATGCGCCTCGTCAAGCTGCTGAGCAAGGGCGAGGGCATACGCACACTGCTTTGGACCTTCATTAAATCGTTTCAGGCACTGCCCTACGTAGCGCTGCTCATTGTGTTACTCTTCTTCATTTATGCTGTGGTGGGCATGCAGGTGAGTTAACCGTGGCCTTCATGTTTGCCCAATGATATCTCGATCTTTCCTCTCCTCTCCCATTGCAGATGTTTGGCAAGATCGCTATAAATGGCGGCACGGCCATAACGCGCAACAACAATTTCCAAACGTTTCAGCAGGCTGTCCTGGTGCTCTTCCGTTCCGCCACCGGCGAGGCCTGGCAGGATATTATGATGGCCTGCTCAGCGCAGCCGGAAGTGAGATGTGACGAGCTGTCGGACACGCCAAACGCCCAGTGTGGCTCATCCATTGCATATCCCTACTTTATATCCTTCTATGTGCTGTGCTCCTTTTTGGTATGGATTATATTATTCTGGCAAATCTTTGCATAGCTTTAGCTCTTTCTTTCCATTCAGATCATCAATCTCTTTGTGGCCGTCATTATGGATAATTTTGACTACTTGACTCGGGATTGGTCCATCTTGGGCCCACATCATCTGGATGAGTTCATTCGCCTGTGGAGCGAATACGATCCGGATGCCAAGGGACGCATCAAGCATTTGGATGTGGTCACATTGCTGCGCAAGATATCACCGCCTCTGGGCTTCGGCAAACTCTGTCCGCATCGTATGGCCTGCAAGCGCCTCGTCTCGATGAACATGCCCCTCAACTCCGACGGCACGGTGCTCTTCAATGCCACGCTGTTTGCGGTGGTGCGCACCTCGTTGAGCATTAAGACGGAGGGCAATATCGACGATGCCAATGCCGAATTGCGGGCCACAATCAAACAGATTTGGAAGCGCACAAATCCCAAGCTGTTGGACCAGGTCGTTCCGCCGCCTGGCAACGATGATGAGGTGACAGTGGGCAAATTCTATGCCACCTACTTGATACAGGATTATTTCCGGCGCTTCAAGAAGCGCAAGGAGCAGGAGGGCAAGGAGGGTCATCCCGACAGCAATACGGTCACACTGCAAGCGGGTCTGCGCACGCTGCACGAGGTGTCGCCGGCGCTGAAGCGCGCCATCTCCGGCAATCTGGATGAACTAGCCGAGGAACCGGAGCCCATGCATCGCGTAAGACTAAATGGAGAATTCTTAGAGTATATTTTTACTATCCTTCTCTGCCATTCTCTTCCTCCGATAGCGCCAACACACGTTGTTCGGCAGCGTTTGGAGCTCCATACGGCGCCATGGCAACGGCACGTTCCGTCGCAGCGCCAAGGCCTCTCAGAGCAACGGCGCCCTCACCATTGGCGGCTCTTCGCTCTCCGCTGCGGGCGTTGGCGGCAGCACCATGGTGCTGGGCAGCGCCGATGCGGGCGGCACAGATTATCTCTACGACAATCTCAATCGCAGCGTGGCCGACGGCGTCAACCACATCACGCGCAACATTATGCAGGCGCGCCTGGCGGCCAGCGGCAAGCTGCAGGACGAGCTGCACGCGAGCAGCGGGGGCGAGCTGCGCACCTTTGGCGAGAGCATCTCGATGCGGCCGTTGGCCAAGAATGGAGGCGGTGCAGCATCCACTGTGACGGGCACTTTGCCGCCGGAGGCGAATGCATTATCTTATGAGTGAGTATTGGGCGTGGCAGGCGGGGCGGGGGAGCCAAAACGTAACTAAAGGAGCGTTCTAGTGGGGCATAGCAGGGTGTGGCGTGCACATGGCTCTAGCTGTTTGCTAGCCACTGTGAGTTGGTGTTTTAATTTTACTTCACTTTTATTGTTTTTTTTTTTTTTTTTTAATAATAATGTCTAATAATTAGCCGCACTTTGAAGCTGTCAAGCTCTTGAGTTGTTCCATACCATACGATATACTTCCTGTTACTATGGCTTGCTGTTTAGTGAGAACTATTCTGTTTAATTTTTTTTTGATGAGAATACATATTATGATTATCATTATTTGGCCACGATTTTAAATGGCATTTTGTTGAACACTTAGTGCGCCTTAAACGTTTTTGTAATGAACAAAAGGAGCCCGGCCCAAACAGGTTCCTCTCAAAATCATTTCATTGTTGCAAATTAGCGAACTAGTCGAACAAAAAAAAAAAAAACCCAATTTAAATTAAGCAAAACAAAGTACATATAAATATATGTAGCTATAAACAAAATTTTAAAAAAAGGTTTCCTTAAAAAAAATATACATATATATACGAATAAGCAACACTGAGAACCGAAAACGTACCGTAAGACAGCAACAACAACAAAAATTTACTCAATTCCCCGAACATTAATTTCAGCAACCGCAATCGTGGTATTTTATTGCATCCATATAACAATGGTAAGAGCAAAAATGCTGCAATTGCAACAACAACTACTGCAACAACAGCAACAATTGCAATTGCACTAAAAACAATTACAACAAAAACATTAAACCTAGTTTCTTATAATTTTGTTAACTTTTCTAATTAACAAATTTTTGCTTTTTTCTCTGTTGTGGAATTTTTGTTTTTTTTTTTTTTTATTCTGTTTGGAGTTATTTTTCTATAAAAAAAAAAGACACGATTTCTTCCTCCATAAAGTGTAACTATTATTTAATTTGCGCATACTAATTGCATTTAATTTTTTATCATTTTCGGTATATAAATAAAAACAAAGAAAATTTGAAGCGCAGCATTTAAATTATTTTCATTGTACATTTCGTTTTACGTCAGAGGCCACTAAAAACAAAAATCAAACACCAAAACAAAACAAAAACAAACAATTCTGAGTTGTGAGTTCTGAATTTTGCCTGCGGCATGCCAAAAAACAACAAAAAAGAAATATATTAAATTAATTATATTAAAAACTAATAACTAACTAATGCGCGCAATTGTAATGAAGCAACAAACTTAAATTTGTTTTCAATGTATTTTTTGGCTGTTTGTTAAATGCGGCGAAACTCAATTAAAAAACATATATAATACAACACTCATCTGTATGGTTATCCATATTGATTCGTAGTACACATTAATAGCCATAGTTAACAATGTAATTGTAGTTAATTTCGTAGTTTAGTTTTGGGCTAATCTAGAAACGCTTTTGCTGCCAATTATATTTATTATATCTATATATAAATATATAGTATACTCTGCCATAGCTCACAGTCACACGAAAACATCATCAAATAACACGATTACATACAGGAAAACATTATTCAAGTA